TTGCAGATATTCTTTCACTTTATGATGAGGTAGAGAGAGAGAGAGAGAGAGAGAGAGAGAGAGAGAGAGGCTATATAAGTAGGACATGAGGTAGAGTGCTATTAAGCAGAACTCGTCTTTGTTTTTCCTTCATCAGATATGGGTCTGCTAGTTATGGCAATATTAATAAGTTTACTGTCCAAAGAAGTAAGCCTAGTCCTGATTTCTAACTTATTTTTCAAATTATTATTGTTTATAAGACAAAACTTGTTGAACCTAATTTGGAGATCAAATTTATTATTAGTGTTGAATGAAACTCTTGTAGCTTTAGAATTTACTACTGATTTAATGGCTACACATGCAACAAATTAGATCTCTAAATCAAATACAAACAATATTACTCTTGTTTTTATGGAAACATGAGTTAAACACACGTTTTTACTGTCAAACTATATTTGTAAAACACACTTTCAATTTCTTTTTTTTTTTAAAAGCATGTTTTGCCATGGAAAAACGTGAGTTTGATCTTTGTTTTCATGAAAAAATAAGCATTTAAGAAATAATTTATAAAGTACGAAACTGGGGGAATAAAGTTAAAAAAACCATGACAGCATGGGAAGTTGCAAAATAGATTCAAACTGATTTTCTTCTATGCTATGCATTTGCAAGAACTATTTACAAGATTTTTTCGGTCCATTTTCATTTTTATGGAAGAAAATTTTGAATAAAAAACAAGTGACTGAGTTTGGTTTATGCTAATGCATGTGTTTGTTTTTTATTTACCTATGTGCAGCTACTAAATGCAATGGGAATAGACAAGATCAATTCCCTCCTGGAAATCTTTTTGTAGCAGTGAGTGAAGGGTTGTGGGACAATGGTGCTGCATGTGGCCGGCGTTTTAGGCTGAGATGCCTGAGTGGCCATAACCGGCCATGCAAGGGTGGTACCGTCGATGTTAGGGTGGTGGATTTTTGCCCTAAAAGGCCCTGCCCCTCCAATATCCTCATGTCAAACGATGCTTTTGCAGCGCTGTCTCATTCTCAAAAAGCTAAAATCAACGTCGAATTTATACAGTATACTATTATCCTCCTCCTCCTCCTCCTTCGTATTAGTGTTATTATTGTTACGTCCATTTTTCATGCAATGTCTAAACTTGGTTTTATCATTTTTACAGGATTTGATATGAATCATGGCATTATTTTACTCTCCTCATTAGCAAGATTATCCTGGCAGATTGGGATGTTCAAGAACTAAAGCTTAGAGGAAATGTAGATTCGTTATATAAAATTTACTGATCATATTTGTAAATCTTATGGTGACAGTTTTGTCGTGTTCTTTGATGATATATATAGTAGTGTTCCATTGTTAATGGAATATAGAATATAGAGTTCTGATATGTGGTGCTCCTTAAATTTTGTGCTCAGCACAGCCAAATGCATTCCGAATCGGAGACGGATCTAGAAATGTAGTGTAGATGGCAACATAGTTCAGGATAATCAGATAACTCACAGGCAGCTGGATCTACTTCCGTTGTTAGTCTTTAAAGAGCAGTGTGATGTGAATGTGCAGTGCGGTGAATAATCAAGAACAAAAATATTTAAGAAACAAGAATACAAAATTTATGTGATTCGGTGAAATTCTACCCAGCTCTTTAAAAATGGCTTCTCTCCATTGTGTATAAGAATCCAAAGAGAAAAATTTTCTAGGCATGAGTTAATAACTCTAATCATCATCTAATTAGAAAGTCTAGTCCTAACAAATTTGATACTCTCAATTCTGGTAAAACTCCTCTGATAATAAATATCACTGATGGCCAGTGAAGCGAAGCACGCCCACAGATCCATTGACTTTTGGACCTAGTGATCCACAGATCCACTCACTATACAGTGTGGGTGGAGTAAGTTTTTAAATTCTCCTAATATCAAGGAAATCTTAAAGTAAGTTTATCTTCAGCAATCCTAAAAAAATGCTTGATTATATTGATCATGTCACGTGCAACAGTTTCATGGTCAGCACCATAAAGTAAATAAGAGATAAAACAAAGAGGTAGAGTAAAATACAGGAATATAATTGACAATATTCATTACGTTAATGCTATCTACAAGCAAAGGTGATAAATGAGATAATATGAAATCTTCTTAAAGTAGATCCGAAGGCATCAAGCTGCGTAAATGACTGAACCAAGCAAAAGGGGAACAACGTGTTTACCAAAAATGTTTAAAGAATTGATTTATCAAATGTATGTGAATCATTGGATTATAAGTCTTATTCAAAAAAGTTAATGGGACTCATTAATCAAATAATCTGCAATAAACGAATATTATTAAACCCTACTTAAAAATAAAATTTTGTGCAATACAGTATGGGTCAATGTATCATGTCAGCCATAGCGAGGCGAAATAAACTCATGGCACCCTTGACTGGATGCGATGACCCAAGGCAGATTTTTGACAAATTCCTTCGTTTAGGGCCTAAAAATAGCATTATTGTCCTTTTTGATAATATTTTGTAGTTGAATAATTTCACCGTTTAAAGTCAGAATTGATTACCGTCAACTCTGCTTTAATCCGAGTGAGTAGTAATTTTTAGCAGTATAATTAGTTTAGAAATTTTCTTTTTTGAAAAAATATTTATTAATGACCTAATTACATAATTAACGATAATTAAGTCACGTTTGGTTATTTCCTAACTAGTTTTAGGGTTTTAGCACTATTTATACTCTTGTAAGCCTTATGCTCTATTTGGTATGATGAAAAAATGGAAAGTTGGAAGAATAAAAAGTTAGAGAGATAGATAAAAGAGCTAAGCAGTTTTTGACTGATTAATATAATTGAAAGAGCCTCTCTTTCATTCTCAATTATTCTGGTATTCTTATGAATCAACAGATCAATTGAAGCCTTTAGAACTAATATTCTTATAAATCAACTACTCTAGAGTAGAATTCTAATTCGATATTTGTGCACAAATCAATGATTTAGTTTTACTATCCCATTTTGTTCATTATCTACCCTTATTCTACCCACTTCCCTGCTACACTTTCCCTATGCAACATAACGATCTTTCGTCTTTATTAACTAACTCTTTTAGATTTCGGCCATTATTTAATCATCTAGAGTTTCCTAACTTATTCTTATTTGGTCTCCAGTTTGAAGTTTTCTCGGTTTAACCAATCGAATAAGTTGAGGAAGAACAAAATTAACTGTTAATGAAATAGTCAAAAATGATAGTATGACTAATGGTTTCATAAAAAAATAGGATCCTTAATAGAGTATAATAAAAAAAAAAAGAATGATTTAGCCAATCAAAAAGAAAATCGGGCCAACACTTTGATGACTTGAGTTAAGTTCTAAATGAATCGTGAAATAATATACAGTTCACCCCCATCTACTTCAATTCTTTAATTTTCAAAATTACCCTCTTAAAGACTAATCCAAAGGGTTTACTTGAAGTTCCATCTCTGCAAGTTACATCACAAGATAATTTTTACCAAAGATGCGCTCTCTTTTGTAAAAGATTTCTCTAAAATAGAGAGTATTATTAGAAATGTTCTTATAGAACATAACGATAAAAGAAGATTCATATAACCAAATCCAAAAATATTAAGATAAAACTTTGATGAATTGAATTAAAGTTTTAGGGAATCTTGGAACTATATAGAGTTCATCCCCCTCTCTATTCCAAACCTTTTCATTCTTACAAGAGAACTGCTATGTTTATCAAAAAAAGTTTACCAAATCAAGTTGGATAGTTAGATTAGTGGGCACCATAATCCAAGGATAGTTAGATTTATGAGACTCACAGATCCAACCAGATATATTATTTTATAAACTTTTTGGTACCTTTTTTTTTTTTGTGGTAAGCACATCATTCCCCTTTTCACAATTACCTTCTTAAAGACTAAGCTAAAGGGTTTACTCCGTAGACCTAAATATTGGATCCATCACTGCAAGTTACACCACAATTAGCAGTTGGACTTCAACTATGCTTGAGATGTCGTTTCTAACTTCTCCTCCTCTTTGTCTGTCAAGCAGAGTCATCCACCATGCAATGTGGAATATGGGTCGTCCACTGATCCAAAATGCTATATCCATGATAACCTTTGATCTCTCAGAACTTCCTTCTACACCAAGGATTCATTACCCATTTTACCAGGGCCTCAACTTATGACTTAGGGTGTGTTTGGTCGGGATAAAAAGAAAAAGGATTAATTGTAAGTTGTACCCTGAAAGATAGTTTGAATCTCAATTTAGACCTCCAAAAATAAAAAAATTTAATTTACACCCTCAAAGATAAAAATTTATATCAATGTGTACCCCTAAAGATAAGAAATCTCATTTTACACCCTCAAAGATAGAAATTTGTATCAATGTGCACCTAAAACTAAATTGATAAATTATACCTAGATCCCCTCATGCTTGTCACTTAATCATTTGGACCCTTTCACATTTAGAATATTACTTCTACATCTCATGAAGTTTGTGCACGTGTAACATGTAATCCATTTTCGTTGATATATGTTAATATAACTGTTAAAAAATATGATTTTATCCTAATAAAAAATTATAATTTCATATTATCCTTTATTTTATGGGTCCTATATACTCTAAAGTTCAAAATCAACTTTACCATTTGAATGTCCAATAGAATGTAGATATTTATATAATATTTTTTATATCCAATGTAATATATCACTCAATGTGCAACCCTTTATTCTATTAGATATTCAAATGGTAAACTTGATTTTGAACTTTAAAGTATATTGGACCTACAAAATAAAGGATAATTTTTTTATTATGATAAAATTATATTTTTAACGGTTATATTAACATGTATCAAAGAAAAGAGATTACATGTTATACATGCACAAACGTCATGAGATATAAGAGTATATTCTAAATGTTAAGGGGTCTAAATGATTAAGTGACAAGCATGAAGGAATCTAGGTATAATTTATCAATTTAGTTTTAGGTGTACCTTGATACAAATTTCTATCTTTGAGGATGTAAATTGAGATATTTTATCTTTGGGGGTGCACATTGATACAAATTTATATCTTTGAGGGTGTAAATTGAGATTTTTTATCTTTGGGGGTGCACATTGATACAAATTTCTATTTTTGAGGGTGCAAATTGAGATTTTTGATCTTTAGGGGTACAAATTAAAATTCGAGCGATCTTTCAAGGTACAATTTACAATTCACCCAAAAAAAAAAGAAAAAATATTGAAGGGTGAGATTAAACTAAATTTGTTTAGTGGCACCAAATTTAAACTATGTAATACAACCCGATTCCTAACGACTTTATTAGTGCAGACTTAATGCTAAAGTAACATTCTTTGTTATATCGTTAAAGGCTTGAGGATTATGCATTAACATAGGATTCTTTTATCTTTACTTAATACCATCCATTAATCTCTCATATTAGTTATCTTATCGTATTTCATATTATACCCGAATCAAACATCACTTTATTAGGAGGCCAAGTGGTGTAAATATTTTAAGTTAGTTCTTTGTAATCTATGAGTAGTGCCAGAATCTTTGTCATTAGAGGCTAAGAGCAGTGAGCATGAAATCGCTTCCACTCATATTAAATACTAGGGAAATACTAAAAGTTATTCTCTAAGGTTAGCTGAATATTGAGCTAAGTTACAATTATTGTTTGGAGAACTCGTTTGTTTAAAAGACCACACCACTAACCGAAAGATAATTCTAAACACAAGTCACACTAAAATGTTTGGCCAACTAAATGAAGGTTTAAGAACAATCCAAACACCAACATGTGTTTTACTGTATAGTCAATTGCGCAGATCATAATGGAAACCCAGGTCATGGAGGTGATGTAAGCGCTTACAACTGTCTCTACTTATTTATTGAAATTCTACAGGACCAAAACAAATATAGTATTGCACTCTCATATATAATTTTTTTAGTGGTTTTTGTACAATTTTTTTGGGATAATTTTAATTTTTTTTTTTGGGATTTTTTAGATTGATCCCAACAATTTTAAACATTTGTTTTAATTTTGAAGATTGGTTCTAATTTTTTTTAGTTATACTAAACCCCAAAATTTTATATATTAAGAAAAAAAATTATAAACTTTGATACGACACATACCCAAGTCATATCCTATTCTTTAAATGGCTCCATTTGATACAAAAGGACTTCTCAATAATATGCACACAAATCACTGAGCGGTTGGTCAAAGTGAATAAGAGTTCGAATTTTTTCGTTTAATTAATATTTTGGTTCGAGTCTTTATAGCTATGATAGTTTGTTAGGTTAAATATACTTTTCTGGAAGGCTTCAATTGATTACCTCTGTGCTCAATAGCACCCAAAATTTTTGGTCAACCCACATTTTTATTCCCCAACAGGTTCTCGATAAATTAGAAAGAATGCTTAGATTATTCCTTTGGAAGGGGACTGATCTCAAGCCTACTGGAGCCAAAGTGGCCTGGGTGAACCTCTTGAAACTGAGATCAATAGTTAGACCTCTAATTCAACATGTTATTGGTAATGGAGAGAGTACTAGCCTTTGGTTGAATAATTGGCACCCTCATGGTCATCTTCTACTTAGATGGAGTGATAATGTTATTGATCATTTAGGGTTACCTAAGGATGCTAACGTGGCTGCAATCGTGGGCAACAATAGGTGGTCATGGCCTTCCACAGGTACACTTGATCTCTTGGAGATTTCAAATCATATGCCTACATATATTCCTCTGACAAATAAGGAAGACCAGGTGTAGTGGACTATAGCAACAAATGGACAATTTTCTTCTTATTCAGCTTGGAATCACCTTAGGGCACCTAGGCTAGAGGTACCTTGGCACCATCTGTTGTGGTATGGACAATGCATACCCAGGATGAGCTTCATTCTTTGGCTAGCAATAAAGGAAAGGCTTAGCACTAAAGATAGAATGCAAAAATTTGTGCCGGATGTTGATGTGACATGTATCCTATGTAGGCATGACATGAAATCTCACTCTCACCTCTTTTTTAGTTGCCAGTTCTCACAAGATATTTGGATTTTTATTATGCAACTGTGTGGTGAACAAGGTCTATTGAGCTCTTAGTAGAATTTCATCGATTATGCAAGTCAAAGTTGGAAAGGTAAGTCACTTGGTAAGGTGTTAAAGAAGTTGTGCTTGGCAACTACTGTGTATATAATATGGAAGGAAAGGAATAGAAGACTCCATACAAACCAGTTTATGGATTGTAAAAGTCTTGTGAAGTGTGTCTTGCAAATCATCAAAGATAGATTAGTCACAATCAAATTCAAGAGTTCCCCCAAAAACTTGTCTCTCCTTCAAGCTTGGCAGCTTCTTGCTGTGGCTTAGGTTCAAATGATATGTGCTAGGAATGTCCTGCGTTTATGGATGAGGCAGGAGCTGTTGCCTGTTTTGCGCATTGGGGTGCCTTTATACATGATGATCATGGTTAATCATTGTTTGCTGTGCTGGTTTTGGGGACATTTGCTTTGGGATGGATCATGTTGTTGGGGGTCTCCTGCGCCTTGAAGTTTTTTGTTGACAGGAATGCACTGTTCAAGTGCACAACTTGTTTAATGCAGCTGTTGACCTTTCTCTTCTGTTTTCTTCTTTCTTCAGCAGAGTGTTGATGACCTTTATCTGTTGTTTCAGTTGTTTCCCCTCAGCTGCCTTTTATTATGGTGTCTGCTGCCTGGTCTCCATTGCAGCCTGCCACAGTCGCTGGGCACTGTTTACGGCTTTCTTGTTTCACTGCTCTTGAATGTTGCCTTGATTGCTGCATGTTTGCTCTGTTATGAGGAGTTCATCCTAAGAGCATGAAAGGTTCTTTTGGCTCCTTCATCCATTTGTTCTCTCACTTGGCTGTTGGCATTGGGCTTTCCATATTATCTGATGGAAGCCTCTTTGCTTTCTTTGTCTCCTTTGAGTCTGGATTATGTTGGAAGTACCAGCTCAAGGCTGACCCTTTCTTTAGAATTCTACACTCTTGGTTGTTGTAAATCTTTTGGTTCTACTTTTGTATTGGGTGGATGCATTATCATGTGAGCATCACTTCTGTTTTTTTTTTCTTATGAATATATTTACCTTCCGTAACTTCGACCCCGACGTAAGTATAGTGGGGTCTCCTGCAAATAATTATGTGATGTTAAAAGACAATACTCTTTGATAGATATGTGGAGTGATCTATCTACATATTCATTTTATATACAATATATATATATATATATATTCACACAAGAAGCCCTGATGAGGAGAAGTTAAACTAATTTTATATCACAACTTCCGTGATAGACTTAAACAGTGTGATGAATTCATTTTTAGTATAGAAAGAACATTGAATAAAGAAAGTGGAATGATGGTCATCACTATCACTAGAACCGTGGAAGTTGCATTCTTATCACCTTTTTTGTGATTCTTTTATTGATTTGCAATTTCATTGAAATCTTTGTAGGAATCCCACGATCACCATTGATGCTCATCTAGAAGATTAAAAATATTTGGATCCACACCAAATTGTCAACATGTACACATGATTCTCATTCTTTCAAGGAAAGGTTTGCAAATATTCTTTCACTTTATGCTGTAGTTAAAAAGACGGAGAGAGAGAGAGAGAGGGGCTATATAAGTAGGACATGAGGGGGGCTATCAAGTAGAACTCGTCTTTGTCTTTGCTCTTCATCAGATATGGGTCTGCTAGTTATGGCAATATTACTAAGTTTATTGTCCAAAGAAGTAAACCTTGTCTTGGGGGACATAGGCACTGCTACATCTTATGAACCCCCATACACACGTAAGTACATAGAATTTTTTTTTCTCAAATAATTGTGATTTTCAAACATTATGCCATCTTTATTGCCAATTTTAATCTACTTCTTAATCTACAATTGCACTTAAAAAATGTTTTTAGTACTTAATTTGATAACCTAATTCATTATAACTGTTTGATTGACAATAGATATCATCTGACATTGGAATGTTGAAAGCATTGGTTTAACTATGATTCCATGAATATAAAGCTCGTTTAACAAATAATATTTTAGAAGCACAAAACAAAGGGAATGTACAGATGATATGTCATCCCAAATTTTTGCATGTTGTTGGTCTTTACTTGTAATTGCTTTGTAAGTCTCTGGGTATACTCGATATACTTGTTTCTTTTTGGTTAATGAATGATTTCCTTACGTTAAAATTTTTTAAAAACGACGCATATGATTGCAAATTGCAAACTAAACTTAAAATGATTTCTCTCTATGTTACATAAATGCATGAATATTTACAATATTAATTTCCTTCATTTTTCTTAATGAAAATTCTGAATAAAAAATGAGTGACTGAGTTTGGTTTATGCTAATGTGTTTGTTTTTTATTGACCTTTGTACAGCAACAAAATGCAATGGGAATAGAGAAGATCAATTCCCACCAGGAAATCTATTTGTTGCAGTGAGTGAAGGGTTGTGGGACAATGGGGCTGCATGTGGCCGGCGTTATAGGCTGAGATGCCTGAGTGGCCAAAATCGGCCATGCAAGGGTGGTACCGTCGATGTTAGGGTGGTGGATTTTTGCCCTAAAAGACCCTGCCCTTCCAATATCCTCATGTCAAAGGATGCTTTTGCAGCGCTATCTCGTTCTCCTAATGCAAAAATCAACATCGAATTTATCCAGTATACTACCATCCTTTTTTTTTGTTTCTCCTCCTTCTCGCAATGCCTAAACTTGTTCTTATCATTTTTGCAGGATTTGATATGAAGCATACGCATTATTTTCCGCTCCTCATCAACAAGATTATTATGTTGTCATATTGGGAGGTTCAAATACGAGAGATTAGAAGAAATGTAGAGTCTCGACATCGTCATATTTGTAATTCTTGTGGTGATTGTTTTGTGTTATACGTACTATGGTCATTTAGTAGTACTCCATAATTATGGAATCTAGGATACATAATTCTTAATATATGAGCGCTGCTTGAAATTTGTGCTCATAAAAAGCATGTAATATTTATTTAAAGTATTATAATGCATGCAAAATTTGGAATGTGCTCCATTTTTGTAATCGGACCCAGGAATATAGTTTAGTTGAGAGAAAGGATATAAGAGGGACGACTTTTGAAACTTTTTGAGAAGATATAAGAGGATGAGGCTATATAGTTCTACAAACTAAAAGGTTTTTTTTTCTTTTTCTAATTCAAATAAATACTTTCCGTTCCTTTTTTTATTTTATTTGCAAGGAGCTAGATGAGAAGAAAATATTACTTCCTATTTTTTTATTCAAAAAAATAATTTTTTGTATTTTTTATGTTATTTTTGAGAAAAAAACTCTCAAATCTGATTCTATAGTAAATGTGAAATTCGGCGACAACCATCAAGTATATTTTATTGAGATAACCTCCCCTTAAAAAAAAAAAAAATCCTTCCTAACCCAACTAAACATATCGAGGGAAGAATGAACATAAACAACAATGTTCATTACGTTAATGCTTTCCACTTGCAAAGTTGACAAAATGATTGGGTCAAGCAGAATTAACTAATTGACAAGAGCCGCTAACACATGAAATCCCTTGACCCCCCCAACCCCTAAAAAAAATTAAAGACGATCCATGTATCTAGTGACATAAGATATGGCTCTGCAGTGAGGTGAAAGGTTATAGAAATCACCTTCTATTGTGTGCTGTTATCTTTGATGTTGAATCTGTTTGGGATGCAAAAAAAATTGAGCACCCTCCCCTGTTTTTTTAGTTTTTTTTTACAACTCACCTAATGTGTGAATTGGTTTTGTAAAGGGTAAAAATTGAGATTACCACCTATAAGAATAAAGATTGAATGTTTCTGATAAGAGTGAGTTTTGAACTTGATCTTCCAGTCTTTGCTTATTGCAAAACGAACAAACTGCCCAAGATCGAAGTCCTTCGATCGAAGACATTTCGATGCTTAAGTTAGTAATGGAACTAAGACAATTGCAAGAAGATAGTGATTGTTTCGCGTACCTTTCACCCTGGTTTCCTTTGCTTTTTATAGATTATTCTCAACGATTCAGTTTGAGAAGTTGCTAATATTGCTCCAACAATTCCTCCTGACATCTACAATTTCGTTGATTCGTTTATCAAAATGCTTAAGTTATAGGCGAGTATTTGTCTTTCCACGTACTATTGCAAATAGCTCGGTCATTACAAGTACCGAACTCCTTTCTTGTTTGTCGAGCACATCAATCCTCTCGGTTTGGTAAGAACCGAACACTTTAATCAGCTTGGTCATAATGAGAGCCGAACTCTTTCTTTCTTTGCCGAACTTTTTGATTAGTACAACTCGGTTTATAAGGCTGAGTGAATGATTTCTTTGTCATGTGACTTGTCTTGTCAACCTCATGTGGGCTTATTTAATGTCATAACACATGTAATAATGGGAGTCAACCCCCTTCATTTGCCTCTCGAAAACGTTTGACAAATGTTTTTCGTCTGTCAGCCATTTTATGCATTTTCATCATCACTGCGTGTACATCCCCTTTTTGTTTTAGCGGTATGCATTGTATTTAAATAACCTCTTGGAATTCCTCCTCTTTGTAAACATTCTCTTTCCATCCTTTCTTTCACTTTGCTTTCCTGCTCACAGACTCATCTTTTCCTCTGCATCTTCTATTCTTCTATATTTCTTCTTCTTCAATGGCCCCTCTCCTATCTTCTAAGATTTCAGCTTTCAAAGCAAAATATAACATTCCAGACGACGTCGAGGTACAGGTTGATCGAAAAGATGAGCCATTGATAGGCCCAAGGGAGAGGATTTCCATCCCAACTCGGGCCATTACCGAGGGTGGAGTTCGATTCTCTCTCGATCCTCTTTTTCTATGGGTTTTTTCTGCCATCAAACTTTGCCCCCTGCAATGTTGTCCTAATTTTTCAAGATTGTGATGGGGGTTGCTGCTTTGAATAGGTTGTTAAACCTAAGTCTGGGCCTCTGGAAACTCCTGTACTGCTATATCATCAAGCCAGCCGGTGATAACTACTACCTTGCCTTCAAGAAGAAGGAAAGGTATTTGGTAATCCATTTGCCAGACTCGAATAAGGGTCATGAGAATGACGTGGTCTTCATTTCTGGCAATTGGGAATATGTTACTGATGCTACACCTTCCTACCGTTGTCCTTAAGAAGAAGGTGGTCCAGGCATTTGAACATTTTACTCTTCTAATTTAACTTTTGCTTGTTGTTTTTTGCTGTTTTATGACCTAAGTCTTCTTCTGTGTGCAGGCAAGACTGTTAAGGGCAAGATTCCTGACTCCTCGGTGAAAATGGATGAACTGCAAAAGGTTTGGGATTTCAATGAGACCCTGTTCTATCGAGCTGCCCATACACTGCTAGGTTACACACCTTCTTATACTTCATTCATTGTCGTGTCGAACCAACCAAACGCCACTCTAGCTGCAGACCGGGAGGCGATCCAAGCTGCTCGAGAAAAGACGCCCCAAGCAAGGAAAAAGTCTTCCCTTATAGTTTTTGGACGTTGAATAGTGAGAAATTTCTTGGACTTTTTGTCAACGGTTGAGCCGACTCCACCCACTGGACTGATTCCAACAACTTCTGCACTTCTGATCACTGTTCGCGAAGAGCCTACTGTCGAAATCCTTCTTGAGGAGATTCTTCCCAAAGCCAATGATGCAGATTTGCCCCTAGGTTACCAAGCTAGTTTGGCTCTAGCCACTAAAACTTCTGTTCTAGTTGAGATAGATCTTCTGGAATCTGTTCGTTCCCCTTTCCAAGAAGTCAATTCAATCTTGAGCTTGTCGAAGACCCTGCCCCGAAAAGGCGAAGAGTTGTCGAGTCTGAGGTGAGCCTTTCTCCCAAACCAGTCATTCCTCATTTTTGTCCTATCCTTAGAGCAAAAAGGATAGAGATTACTAAAAAGGACTCCGTCATTGAAGACTTTAATGTAGCAGTGGGGATTGCTAGGGGAGTCATCTTGTCTCGGGACCTGACTATGAACGAGGTTCTTACTGATGACGAAGTGTCTCGCCAAGTCATTCAACACATGGTCCTGGTAAGACTTATTCTTTTGAGCTTTCCATATTTTCTTCGAGATTTTTCTTCAAAGTTTTTCTAAGTCAATTCTTCTTTTTTTCAACCAAGGGTTTGCAAAAAGTTCATGAGGTTGGGGCTAGGATAGCTAGAAAATATAAGGCTATGAAGGATGTTATCCATACCTGAGCTTCAACCTTGGCTAAGAAAAAGAGTATGGATGAGGAGTATGCCAAACTCTGCGAAGAAGTTAAGGTTCTACAGGCTCAAAACCAAAGCTTGACCGAGGAGAACCAAAAGCTTTCTTTTGAGGTTGAAAAGTTGAAGGAGTCCAAGCATGAGGCCAACGTTGAGCTTTCACAATCCCAACTCGACTATTCCACCCTCCTTGAGGAATTTGATCAGTATAAGTCTAAAACAAAAGAGAAAGAAGACGCTGCTTATGATGAAGAAGTTGAGAAGGCGAAAAATGACCTTGCCCTACAAATCCCTCAACTCCAAGAAGCGTACTTTAGTCAGGGCTGGCACGCTGCCCTAACTGCTGCAGGGGTTCCAACTTCTTCTGAACTCTTTTCAAGACATTCCCTTCCGAGTTCTTCACAGCCCCCTTCCTCCTGAAATACCTTAAGAGATCTTCCTTTTTGCAACTTCTGATGTAATCATTCAATGATTTGTGTAATTTCTTTTTTGAAGTATGAATGAAAACATATTTTGGCCTTTTTGTTTCTATAATTTACTATATGCTTGAAAAAACATGACTTTTGACGTACAAATCATTTTGTTTGGCCCTTTTTTCGAAGGTTCGGTCCCTTAATAAGGACCATTTATTTTTAGAAAAAATTTAGATAGCTTGTAAAGTCAAGGCCCTGCTCGGCCTTTATTCAAAGAGCTCGGTCCCTCAACTGGGAATTTTTCCACTTAAAAAAATTTTGATAACTCTTAAAGTTATGACCCTGGTTAGTCCTTCTTCAGAGAGCTCAGTCCCTCAACAAGGACCTTTTCCATTTAGAAAAAATTTGATAACTCTTGAAGTTATGGTCCTGCTCGGCCTTTCTTCAGAGAGCTCGGTCCCTCTACAGGGACTTTTTACTCTTAAAATTTTTTTGATAACTCTTGAAGTTATGGCCCTACTCAGCCATTCTTTAGAGAGCTCGGTCCCTCAATAGGGACCTTTTACACTTAGAAAATTTTTGATAACTTTTGAAGCTATGGTCCTACTCAGCCCTTCTTCAAAGAGCTCGGTCCCTCAACAGGGACCTTTCACACTTAAAAAAATTTTGATAACTTTTGAAGTTATGGCCCTGCTCGGGCCTTCTTCAAAGAGCTCGGTCTACCAGTAAAGTTACTCTTAGTCCTTTTTGGGATCTAAGGGAGTTTCGACTCGGAATCGACCTGTCAATCTGATTGGCTTCAAACCCATCCCTGATCAGTTTACATCGTCATGCCTACCTAAGGGCCTAGATTAGATTGGGCGGTTATGCCTAATTTAAGTTTAAAACTTCTATCAAGATTTTTTGCCTCCTTACCTTAACAGTAGGACATATATAAAGTGGAGCAAGAATAGGAAAGAATCTTCAAATTTTTTTATTAAAATATTTAATTTGGTATATTTGGTAATCATCTATCAACTCTTAAGGGACACCCTTAAGTTTTTGAAGGTACTTTAGAGCTCTATCTAAAAAAGTACTTTTTAGAAATAAAACTTTCTAAGGTTAGCGATGTTTCAGGGGGCGTGGCACTAC